CTTCATGGTCATATTCTATTTAATGTAATGTCATTCAATTTGAGACCTCCTGACAGATGTTACAGAATGCTCAATTTTACTTATTTTACTCATTGTAATACCTGAGCAGCGGTATTGGTTCTAATAATGTCTTTTCAATAATCACTGTAACTTTGCATCAACTGTATCTCAATCATACTTGAGTTTGAAACTATAAAATATAGTTTAGTCCACTATATTAGGAACATTCAAATGCAGCTGTGACTACTTACGAGTTTGTTACTATTGGGAACATTGTTGTACAGAGCTAGAAGCTATTTTGAAAGACAAAGTTTGTGGCAGCTTGGGCACTAATATTCATACTAATTTGTAATACTAATTTATGTATACAACTTACCCAGCACTTCACATCCTTGGGTCATAATAAGTCTCTTCAAATTTCCCCCATGTTGTTAAAGTACAAACTAGTTGTGCTAAATCTCAAATGCAAATGTTCTTGTGTTCTTATGCCCTTCTCCAGTTTAATTTGCAGTACTCTCTCAATTTGTCACCTAATCAGAAAAGCAGTTGTTTTGCCCTGAAATGTACAATACATATCTGGATAGATACTATGTGACCCCAATATGCAGGACAATTTGTAGCTTTCTATGCTACCTCGCAGTTTTAAGAGTGCTAAGACCCTATTCCACCACAACAGGTTGTTTTTATTACCCAGAATCACCAGAGCTCTCACAGACCAGTATAAGGCAGTAGTACTACATAATTATCCTTTTTATCCTCCAGCAGTTACAACATTCATCTCTGTCTGCATGATACGTTGGACATACAACACAAAACATCCAAACAAGACACATATTCACAAAAACACGTAAACAACACAGTCCCCATTAATCCCAAACAAATCTTCTTAACAAAAAAAGAAAAGTCTGGTTCTCATGAAATATTTCTGGTCATTATCCTGGCATGCCTTCTTCAGTCTCTATAGTCGCACTGAAGGAAGAAACTCCATGTAGTCCTTCCATTGTCTTATGCATCCTGTTCAGTCCTGACCATCCCAAACAATGTGGTACCTACTGTCCCCACCCCTCCCCCGAGTCCAATGCAAGGCAGCAGGAGGTAGAGAGAGCTGAACAATGGGCCTTCCTCTCCTGCTCTATGTTGGACACCTTCCTCTGGTGCCCAAGTTCTCTCCTGTTTCCAGTGGTGAAATCTGTGTCCCCACCACATTCTTCTCTTGAAATTCTCCTCCGTGTCCTCCTGACTGGTACTTACGAAGCCTATTCTTCCCCTATTCTGGAGTCTTCTCCCTTCTGCAAGCACAGTTAAACGTGACTCACTAACCCACATCACCTGAACTGTGTGGTAATTAACAGGAATATAAGCAAAAACCGTGCATCAGTCAATCTTTATGGGTTTCCAGCTGTTCTGCCTTTTGTGTTGTAATGACCTTTAATTGAGAGGAATCTCAAATAACAAAGAAGAAAGACAAACCCCCCCGACAAAGACACTGGCCACTATAAGCAAAGTCAGTATAGTCTACAAGCTTCTGATCCACTGCCACATTTTGTCAGTCCATGACATACACTTCAGTTGTGGAGAATGTGAGATCCCTATTCCTTTCCTATGAACACTTTAGATACTTTCTAGATGGAAAAAAAACTACTGTATTAATATATTAAT